TTGCAGATTATTGTACAGACACACAAATCTCCTCACACATTTACAGATTTATTTACACATTTTCAAATCCCACTGCACACGCACAAATCGAGATACAGACACACAACTCTCCACACACATTTGCAAATATTAAAGCTACCATTTTGGCCCCATAGATGGTGCATTCACACCGAATGCATTGTGGGCATCAAAGCATCTGTTTTACATGCAAAGTCTATTGGGGACCGTGGCCAGGGGTCCAGTGGTGCGTCTGAGCATCGGGAGCGGCGGATAAGAGTAATGCTGGAGTTCAGAAAAGCTTATCCAGGAAATAAATACATATAAAGAGGTTAAACTCCAAATGGTTTAAAAAAAAAAAAAAAAAAAAGAAAAAACAGGAGAACTGATTAGTACGTACAAGGAAAAGAGAGCGAGCTCTGATCATTGTTTAATTTACTAAAACATTTTACTGAAATTAACTTAAAATGTTAAAACCTGCTGAAGAAAAATATTCGATTGTATATTATGGTACTTGCTAGCCTAGTAAACTAGCCCCACCCGCCAGCGGCAAAAATCATTTTTCCCTACGATTGGTCTAGCCTCGATCAATGCCCCAGGCCCTAGAACTGGTGGGCCAATCACAACGCAGATATGCGTTTTGAGTATTTGGATACAAAGTGGGCGGGGTTTAAAGGCATGACGACAAAGTTGCGCAAAGTTTGAGAAAGCACAACAAGGAAGACGGCAACAACAATTGAACAGTTCTCGTTTGACTCAGCTTTGGAATCAATGTTGGAAGGATTAGACTTGAGGTTTTCATTGAAACGTGAGCAGGAAGAGGCTCTACGCTCATTCGTTTTAAGGACGGATTCGCCATTTTACCGTCAGGCTAGGTACGTTTTTACCCCACACTTAAGAACTTTATATTCACTTCCAGCCGCTACGAACAGCGGAGGGAAATCCCCCACAGGCGGGCCGCAGCAGAGAGCCTTCAGTGGGGATTTCCAGAGCTGCCAGCCAGCCGTACGCTCGAGGTCTGGCGCTCCGAACTAGAACTATAGGATCATAATCCTGATGAACTGACTGCACAGAGGATGCTTGGAGGTGGACTTTCTCACTTAAAAACGTCTTAAAACTATTCTTCAAACTTATCAAAGTAAATAAAGCCAATCTGCCCTCTAGCTTGTTATGACAGTAAGGAGCAGATAAACAACAAGAGTTTAGAGGCGTCACAGCACCTAGACCAATGTTTGACACACATTTTAAGATTTTTTAACACCCAGATTGCGTTCGTTGTGAATGCACCACTATCATTTTACTTTAAGGGTAAAAGCACTAAATCCATTGGCAGATTATCTTATTTACAAGTTCAAATTAAGGGTAAATTCTCTTATCTTAAGGAATCTATTTTTGCTGTTTTCAAACAAAATATATCATTTCCTCTCTATCAGAGAGGAGAACACAACTTTTTGTTGGTTTGTAACATAAACTCTAAAAGAACAGCTTTAAAGGCCATGCCATGTTCTACATTACTCTACATTCTACGTCAGCTGTTTTAATGGGAAATAAAAAGTCGTTTTTAGGATGGTGTCTTAAGAGTTAAGGTTTGGTCCATTTTGAAGGTAAAGTGAATCTCAGTGTGAGGGAATACCTGTGTGTTCATATTTGTGTCTGAGCAGCGAGCTGCCTTTCTGGAAGACCTTGGAGCACAGATCACAGGGATAAACGCCGTTTTCCAGACGTCGTTTCTTGGTCTCTTGCTCCTCTGCTGAGGAGGCGCCGTCTGTGTTGCTCTCTGAACGTTTCTCCTGCAGAACAAAACACAGTTTCTACATAACCCCACAGAAGTTTCTGTTTGCACACAAGATCCAACTAAAAGCTACAGCAGGACCAACCTTATGGCCGTTTAGTACAACAGTCTTGGCTCCAGTGGCGTTGCCGGTGTTAGCAGCGTAGGTGTAGGTGAGCTGAGGGATGAGGATGGTTCGTTTTGTGTTGGTGTTGATGGCACTGAGGCAGCCCACTGTTCCCTGACCTGCGATGGCCACTAAGGTTGGCAGCTGGGCAGCAGTGACGATGTTGACAGGATTACTGCTCTGAGGTGTGGTAACGTAGACCGTCTGACCGTCCTTCCTCAAGCAGGTCAGGTTCAGAGGCTGCTCTTCCTGCTTCACAACAGGCGTGTTTTTGTTTTCTAATGGTGTAACATCATGTTTGGGAAGAGACAGGTCCAGAGGCTCTGCCTGGGAGTCCACTTCCTCTGGGTCTTCTGGCTCACTTTTGACAATAACAAGATCCCCACTGAGCGACGGGGAGTCCAACGGGGAGCTGATAGGTGGCAGAACTTTGTCTGATTCCTCCTGGGTGATGTTCTCCTTGTCATCCGAGGTGTCCTCCGAGTTGGAATTTGTGGTTTTAGTCTCTTTTGGGGGATCCGCCTCCTCAGTGCAACATGTACTCGTGTTTTTCCCAGAGTTCATCTTGATAAACCACTTCCTGACCACTTCCACAGGAATACTGACGGACTTGGAGATTTTTGCTAGCTCATCTTCACTGGGATTGGCGTTGGAGGAGAAGTAAGTCTTGAGGAGCGAGAGGAGGTCGTCCACTGGCGGCTCCTCCAACATCACGCCGGCTTCGCTGAGCAGATCGGCAAAAGACGGGTCCAACGCCGCCGAGTCCACAGCCTCACCATTGGCTGCTTTGTGATGCTGCAGTAGATGCAGCGCCTCCAGGTTATCGGGGCAGTCATCACACAGCAAACAAGTACTGGCGCTGTTGGCTTTAGGTACTTTAGCGGACTCTGACTCTCTCCTAGCCTCTTCAGTTGCTGCCTCTGTCTGAATGTCTTTGATGGGCTCCGCTGCCGGGGTTTTCTTCACACTGAGGTCTGTCACCTCAGGTGTTTGAGGTCGATCTGGCTTTGTTTGGGCTGGGGTGGCAGCAGTTGCCATGGTGACATCTGGAGCAGAGGGAGGGTTGTTTTTGATAAGGATGGGTGTGGGCAGGGTGGTAGCATTGGTGCCGGCTGCAGGACTGATGCTGTAGTTGATGATTATCTTGGTGGTACCGTCGTGATCTACAAAGGCCGGCAGGCTGATGATTTGCTGCTGTGGCTGCTGGACAACGATCCCCTGCTTCCCCTGTGCCACAACGCCATTGGCTGAACCCAGCACCTGGCGGAGCACGTTTCCATCCATCGCCACCTTAAGCACGCTCTGCAGGTCATTCAGGTTAATGCTGACCGGGGACATGAGGCCTACCGTTGGTACCACCATGGCCACGTTTGGAGGGAGGGTCGCTGCCGGCTGCACCGTCCCTCCGTTCACAACTCCATTACTCCCCGTCGGAGTTGCTGGTGCCGGCATGACCGGCTTACACTCGTATTCCACAGGTTCGGATTTGATCTGTGTGACGGGCAGCTGCTCCTGGAGGGGTTTGCTTTCAGTCTTTTCTTTGACAGCCACCCGTGCTGGAGCGATTGCAACAGGTTTAGTCTGAGTGCTTGGAGACGTGGTCTTAACCACCGTTACAGTCACACTGTTTGGAGTCGTTACACTCACACACTTCTTGCTACTGATGTGGGAGCTGTAGGAGCCAGAGTGGGAGAATCGCTTCTTGCAGTTTGAGCACTCGTATGGCTTCTCACCTGGAAGAGACAAAGATGGCAAATCATAAATTGGTAAAAGGTGTTTTAATGGAGGTTCTTAATTGTTCATTCAACCATCAGTTGCCCTTTAATCCTGCTATTACTGGACTGGGACAAAATATTGGCCCAGATATTTTTGGTGCCAGTGGCAACTATAGTTGGATGAAAATAAATATCTCTGTTTACATTGATGTAAAGATGGCAAATATTACAAAACAATCATTTTAAGCCTCTTTGTATGTCGGTTGCTAATGTTAATTCTTGGCTGCTTTAGCGGCGCAGATAACTGTAAATAGTCAAATGTTTCAGCATTCATCAATAGCAGGAGGAGTGTCGAACTTTGCATTTCTTACAAAACTATACTGATTTGAATAAAAAACAATAGATTAGTTCTCTTGCAAAAGTGGTTTTGCTTTCACATTCGACCTTGTAGTGATCAATAGATCTGTAAATGGAACGAGGGTCATGTTCATTTACAGATCCCCTGTTTCTGGAGCAAAAACACTCCAAGGGAAGAGCAAATCAAGTTGATGGCAACTTAAAAAGTTAAAGGGTCATTATCTTTATTATTCAGTTGATTGGTTGCAACACGACATTACACTTATGTTGTTTTATATATTATTTAATGTGAATATGTCAACATTGTTTTTCCTGATATGAAGACAATACATGCAGTAAAACAAATCCATAAAAACACACTATTCAGTCAAAATCTACAAAATGGCTCTACTCTGGTTCTGCTTCGGCTGGACAAAAAACGAATAAGCTAGTCACAGCCGCAGGAAACAACGATAGAGGTTGAGGTTCATTACACTGCTAAGCAGAATCATTACTGGAAATCGTGAGGCACGGATGGGAAGCTAGTATTTTTCTGAATGTCTGAAGTTTCATGATTACGAAGACAAACTGTAAGGAGATGACGCGGTCTGTTCACGCGCTCTTTGTTATCTGAGAACTATGCAAGAACGTAAAGGCGCCGAGCCCTACTGATGAACTAGTACCAGTTTAGCGTTTTTCTGTTGTGTCTGGCACGGTCCGGTTCAGTTGTTCAATTCAATTCAATTCTGTTTATTCATATAGCGCCAATTCACAACACGTCATCTCATTTACACAAAACAGTTACCTCGGTTACCGTGCTTAGGCCGATCTCGGCACAGTTTCAAAAGGTAAGTGTAAATGGGGCTTATGTAGCAATACGAAGAATCACATTGGTTTTTGGAATAAATATTAGATAGTGCTTTTTAAACCTCATCCCTGTCATTTAATATAAAGGTGCATCCATTTATTTTACTCCATTTTCTTAATTCTGGCTGATACTTCGATGTGAATCAGTTCTTTTCCACAGATCTTTTCTACCTCTGCAAAGGACTGAAAACCAATGCTCTAAACATAGAAAAAGATTTTATCGTTTCACAGATACTAATTAATGCCTTTCAGCAAGATAATATTAAAATGTTTAAAGGGTTTTATGATCATATAACAACTGACTGCTAAAAAACAATTTGCACTGATCAAATCAGAATCAGTATTTTAGGCTTTTAAAAGATCCAGAATCAGTGATTGGCAAGAAACCTGCAACCTGTTCACCTTTTATTAAATATTTTCCCCTTCTTTAAGGAGGATTGAAAAGAATCAGCCAGCATCACTTAGCAATAAGAGCTAAAGCGAACGTAGATTCCTGGGATCTTGTGAGCTCCTTACCACTGTGAATGCGCAGGTGTTCCTTTAGGTGGTGTTTGTATTTAAAGGCCTTTGAACATTCGGTACACTTGAACTTGCGGGTTCCTCCTGATCCCGCTGAGGACTGGGAAACGTGACGCTGGAAGAGAAAACAGACATGCTCAGAGAATCCGTTTGCATAAATATAAATTTTTCCTTTTTGTGATGCATTTCTGTATTTTTTATTAGTTAAAAGAAAAAAAAACAGAATAAACTTGATGTGAAAGCTTGATTATTGAAATGATTAAATCCATGATGTGGCACAAGGTTGGTTGATGCTGGACGTGTTTCACAAGGTATGAACCATTTGATTACTGATGTACTTGCTTCAGATGAATGAGAAAGTGGGTTGAGCCTAAAGATGGTCGTACTTTGTCATGTCAGGCATTGATTGTTTGGACCTGGTCAGTCTATGTCTCAGTCAGGACAAAACAAAACTAATGAACGTAGCTGATCCCAGTCAGCAGTTTCTTTTGAGCTTGTGTTGTGCATTTTGCTGCATAATTACTGTTTATTGTGGGAGGAATCGAGATTTAAAATGATTAAATAATAATTACTGACTCATGAAAAGATCAAATCCTCCTGGAATTAGATGTTATTCATTTTCTAAGCTGATTTCAGTCTCCCTGTGGCGTCCTGAGCCTCGTTAAAAGGTGCGAGTTGACAGCTTGGGGCTGTGAGGTGTTACCTGCTCCCTGTTGCCTCGGTGGTGGCTCATGTGCCTCTCCAGCTGCGAGCGGTAGGTGAAGGTGTAGCTGCACTGCGAGCAGCTGTAGTTGTCCTCACTGGTCTCGTGGCGATACTTAATGTGTTCCTTTAGCGAGGCGTTGCGTTTGTAGCCCCGAGAACAGTATGGGCAAATGTGCAACTGGGAGAAGCTGTCGGGCGTGCCTAATGAGAAGAAAACATGAAGTGAGACGTTCTTGAGGTTTGCCTTTCTTTATCTGATGAAGCAGCCTGTTCTTCTCTTTCCAGAAGAGCTGACACACATTTTATTATGTCAACAATGCTCCAGCAAATTGGTGTCAAATATAAAATGGCTCATTTCTAGTTTTGCTTCTGCTAAAGCTATAGTTTCCCTAAAAATGATAGTATAGTTTCCCCATAATTAAATAACTGAAATCCCCTCTATTTCAAAATCAAAACATAAACTTGTCAGTTAGAAATCGGATTATTCTATAAGTGAGAAATAATGATGGTATTAGTTTGATTTCTGTTTTAAAATGTCGAAATTAGAGTGCATTAGAAACACACAATCTTTATGGATCTTAAAGAAACTTTCATTCATGGCTACTTACAAATAGACATAAGATTGCAGTTTATACAAAAAGTTAAATATAAGCTACTTGAACAGAAAACCAATAGTTATGTTCTTTTAGGAGTGACAGACTAAAAATAGAGCAGTCATAGATGGAGGTTCGGGAAGTTGTAGAACAGCAGAGGAGTTAGGAAAGTACAAGGGAATTAAAATTAACATGGATTGATGCATCTATTTCTCTTTGAAATTAAGAAGAACAGAAAAAATCTTAAAAGGAGCTTCTTAGTAATTTCAAAATGCAAATACTGACGGCTGACATGTTAAAAGCAAAGTTTTGAGGTGGCAGGTAAAAAATGATTTGGAAGAATAAATCTAAAGCTTTGAACTCCAGGTTCCACCATAGTTTTCAATGTTTTACTGTAATATACAGAGCTGCTTTATGCACTGATTGGACAGCAGCAGAGGTAAAGAGCCTCACTTTGATCCAGTTGAACCCTAAATGACACTAAATTGATCTCTAGTTGATCACTAACACTGCGCTTCATTACCCACTCTTAAATTAGTAGTTAACAGTTGCTCTCTCCAGTTGCTCAGTTCATCCTAGTGATGAAGAACTTCTTGTTTTGTTGGAATAGTCATCAAGCAATCAAAAGGTTTGTTATTTTTTATGTAATCATACTGTGTTACAGGGTTTTGTTACCGTTTTCATCTGCGTCTGCTGTCTCCGTCGGACTCTGTTCGTCTTCTGGGGCTTCAGGATAAATGATGGCTGTATCTCCCTGCTGGAGAATCTTTTCCACAAGAGCATCCTTCACCTCCTCTTCCTCCTCCTCCTCCTCAGACACACACTCCTCCTTCACTGAAATGCAAACAGAATGGGAGTTTTTCAGCAGGAGTTTATCCAACAAATGTTCAGACATTATCACTCGGATAAAAACAGCTGGATGGAAGTTAATTTCATATTTTTGTGATGTGTCTGTGCCTACTTGATAAAAAAAAAAAATTAATTAATAAATAAAACTATTTCAATGATATATATAAGGGTTTAAACCATTTAATTTGTTTTTTTGGCAAGGATCTAATAATTGCAAAAGTCCTGATTTAATGTTCAATTGAAGAACCACCACTAGGGGGAGCCAAATTACTTTGAATAATCTGAGTTCAACATCACTCAGAGGTTAAAAATTAGCCTTTTACAAAACCTACTCTGATTAATATTTTTCAACAAACAACAATCATTTTAAGGATGATTTAAAAAAAAATAAATAAAAAAAATGGCCTCATAAGCATTAAAAAAACTCAGAAAGTCATGTCTTTGAATTTCTTAATGTACAAGGCAATAATGTGCCTTTTATACAGGGCAATAACTATTTAAAATGTAATTAAACATTTTGGCCAGCTTTAAACTTTACATTTTTTAAAACTATTGAATGGATATAATATCCCAAGTTAAAAATTGCTTTTAACAGAACCACCAGCATGTGGAACTTGTTAAGATAAGGAAAAATGTGGCTAAAACATCTTTTATTTTTACGTTACCCTTTAAGTAGATCAGAGAGCTTTAGAAAGTACCTTTACTAATCCAGCACTACCTGTTTCTCTGATGTTTATATATGTTAACACAGAGACCCATATCTCTAAGCCAATCCTTTAAATAAAAATACCTCATTTTAATAAGGACAATTTTTTGGGGGGGTGATATTGGTTTTTGTGATCTTTTTGATTTGGCATTAAAAGTGAAGTCGGCAGTAAAAAAACATCTTAAAAACTCGTAATTTTGGGCTACGCTGTATTTGATTCGTTCAATTTCTGCTCTAAACCATCAAATACTGAAATTTGGAATCGTTTACTACGTTCTCTTTAAAAAGTTTACTTTTATGTTAATCCAATAAATGACATGTTTTGACAAACTACAGGAACATTTGGGGTTTGAATATCAACCATAATAATTACAATGTTTTCTTATAATCTTCAGCAGGTAGCTACATTTTTTTTTGTTTTTAAGGTTTGAAAAGCGATTAGGAAATGAGTTTAGTGCCACAATGCTAAAAAACTAAACTTCAGCTTCTTTTATAAAGATCTCAGCACTTAAAATCCGGACTTGCATGATCTCCTTTTAAAAAAAAACAACCATCTGCTTTTAACTACAAGCTGCAGCCTGGAGCAGCGGATGAAAAAGGAACTGGGACAGAGAAGATACTTCATGTTCTGTGTGAAAACACTGATAATGAGCAGTGAAGTGAAACTGCCACAACTGCTGCTATGGAAATGATGCATTATAAATGCAGGCAGAAGTGGAGCTGAGGGCCACGCCTCTTCCTGCTGAGCTGTGTCAGGGACAGGTGCAGATGTGCGTGTGCATTGAGGTCTATAGAACCTGTTTATGCTGAGCCCTGCTTGTGAGAACCTTGATGAAGAGGCAGGATCAGGCCAAGCCCTGTTAAAGCTGGTTTTAAACACTAATCTTAGCTTCCCATGATCTCATCCAAAAGCTTTCTAAATCTCATTTTCCCCCCTGAGACTCAGTCAGTCTACTTTTCTGGGTTCCATCTTTACCTAAGTGTATTCACTCCTCCATCTTCCCTTATTACCCCAACTCTTATATACCGTAAAATATATATATATTTTTTAATAAAATAAAAACTATGTAATGCTTGTAAGTGTCCTTTCATGCTTGTTCTAAAAATAAAACATCAGAATAATAGTGTAGTTCTGGTTATATGCCCTTATAACTTATGCACTGGTGAGGAAATAAAGAGGTTGACTGGCTTTATGATGCAGGCAGTCTAAATCAGGGTTCAGCAAATTATTTAAGCCAAAGAAACTTTTCTGCTCTTATAATCTGTGTCTAGAGATATGAAAGACTCTTAAAATGATAAAATAATGAGTTAGAAGGAATCCCAAGGTGTTAATAGATGCTCCAGTGTCTCTTTAGTCTTCAGCAGATGGACAGAAATGTTGGACATTCTCCACTCTCTTACCACCATGTATTTAATAGCCTCTGCATATTATTGAACTTTATTTTTCTGAGAATGTATGTTAAGATCTCCTCCGCTGTCATTATATTAAAGCTTTTCTTTTCCATTTTTTTTTTTTAGAAAGTAGGTCAGAAATGTTCTCTAGGGGCTATATTCCTCAAAACATGAAGAAAATTATGCTTATAAGCAACATTTTGGATCTATCAAAGTGTAAAGAATCTGTTAGTTCAATCTCTAGCGTTCTGCTCCCTCTGCTTTTTCTCATAGTAGCTTTGCCTCGTCTGTTCCTGTTTGGCTGTGACTCCATCCTGGAGAGAAATATCAGCTGTGCTGCTGCCATCATCACCTTTGTTTCTAGATGTTGGAGATCGGCCTGTTTTTCAGTGTAGCCCTGTTTCTCTGACGGTGGATGTGCTTTCTTCATCCTCAGACATGGAAGCTGTGTGTTTCCTGGATGGGGCCACTTTTTACAGTTGCCTTTTGTATCTCTTCTTCTTTTTCTATGTCTGCTTCTGTCTCCTTGAACCCCAGTCGGCCTCAGCAGATGGCCGCTCACTCTAAGTCTGGTTCTGCTGGAGGTTTCTTCCTGTTAAAGCGAGTTTTTCCTCTCCACTGTCGTTACAAGCATGCTTAGTGTGAGGGATTGCCTTTGCGTCAATGAGTCGATGCAATCAACTGGTTTTCCTTAGATAGAAAACTTGGAATCAGTTTGGTGAACTGTAAAGTGCCTTGAGATGACATGTGTTGTGAATTGGCGCTATATAAACAAACTGAATTGAATTGAAGGAAGCACTAAATGGGCCTGTAAAGGTGAACTGGTAATATCAAACCCTGTGAATGGAAGGGCTGATTTTTTCAGCTTTTCCACTAAGAAATGATGACCATCTGATGTAACAAAAGCCTCTAAGCTATCAAGCTGGTTAACTTCTAAGTACTTTAAGGAATAAACGTTCTTGACCTCCTCTAACAGGTCATGCAAATGTTACCAAACCAGCCAGATAAGTTCCTTAAGTTTGTTTAGTTCCTTTGTAAACCAGCAGTTTTTTCCTCCATCTGATCTTCTGTCTAGTTTCATCATATCCGTCCAACACAGTATCAACCCGTCCTCCTCCATGCTCGGATCTTACCCCCTCCATCCTGCTGACCACACCTCTCTGCATATTTTCCCACAATGGCCCACAATTAAACTTAATGCCTCACAAAAGTTGAGGCATTAATGACAACCAGAACCCAGAAACACACAGTATGACATAAGAATGGAATGAAAACAGGAAATCATGTGGTGGACTTAAACACATGTGCACACACATTCTTAATAAGCACACACACTAGAGGACTCACACACCCTGCACTCGCGTACCTTGCCAGAACCTGTCACTGAGAGCCGTTGTTGAATTTATAAAGCAGGATGGATTAACGCTGCAGTGCGGCCCAGACTGCAAGGGGGAGTAGTGTACGCTAATCTCTCACCAGAGGATCGATTCAACAGCAGCTGCTCTCCGTTTTACCTCCAACAGGGAGGGAGGAAAGTGAAGGAAATCCAAAAATATCAAGCCAGGCTTTTCAAAGCTTTCCACCGTGGCTCTACAGCGCAGCAACGTTCTCATGACTCTTCCATGACTTCTCCCTGAACGACCACCAGAGCTCCTCCGCATGCGAAAACCTCCACTCCTTCCTGGTTTGTTAATGTTTCTCTAAAGGAGGGAACAAACTGGACTTTACTGCAGGTGCAGCTGGAAAACTTCAGGTAGAGCCACAAACACGCGACTCATTTCCATATCAACTGTGGAAGACAGATAAGAAGAGTGGAAAGAAAAAAAAGTGCACTGCCTTTAACTTTTCAAGAATAAACTAAATCTCTTTATTCAAAATGGGAAATTACAGGGAACTAAAATATTGCAACACTTTTGTTGCTTCCATATTTCATGAGCTAAATCCAATTATCTAAAACTTCTTAACTATGTACATAAAATGTCTATTTCTCTCAAATATTGTTCCGAAATCCGTCTGAATCTGGATTAAACTGCTTGTGATTTACAAGACCTTCCTCCAGTCAGTAAAACTACACAACCTGAGGGGGCGTTTGTTGTTGCCAACTTAATATATAGGTAATTTCACAGCTTCCTGTATGGCTCATCTGGTCTTTAGAAATGTTCACGTATTTCTCCATCATCTTTCAAAAATAGATGTGATCCCCATTTCTAAACCATGATGGAGGAGAGATCTCTATCACATTGCAGCACCAAAAGGCCAGGAGAACTACGGCAGTGATTTAAATGGTTTCTATCAGCGATGGAGAGAGAACTGCACAGATAACCAAATCTGTAAACTTGGGGTATAAGGGCACCTGTGCAAAAATCACACTAGTCCAAGCAGGCTGTGGCTTTTTCTATGCCTCAGCAAAAAGCCTATTCAAGAGCTTTTATTCAAAATGTCAACTTTAGTGTTTATTTGATCTGTTTAGTGCTTTCCCAATGAAATGTTCTTACAAACCATACATTTCTATTCCATTTAGTCTA